CAATAACTAAAGCTAGCTTACACTGATTAGATCAGGTTAAAAACATTTTAGTTTCCCTCTTAAAATTTCAAAACTTATTTTTCCACCCAATATGGTGATGTTTGGGATCTCAAGGCATAATGAATGGTGGTGTATGGCACATTAAATTAAAATTAGAGTTTATATGGACCATGTTCAGCTTATAAATGGGGTTGGCTCGCCTTTTTCATGGCTAACAAAGGAAACTTCATCAATACCATGTAAAGATAATATAATTTTACTCTATCTATGTGCCAAATTTATGACCTATGTTCATGAAAAATATTATATAAAAACCATGACACTAATATATATATATATTATATATATATATATATATATAATATATATATATAAATTTTTTATTCAACGATTTTGAATACAAGGTTGCGATTATTAGGTTTGTAAAGAAAAAAGAAAGAGATATCTCAAAGTATTTGTTTATGCATTTCTAAAGTATTTAGGTGGTTTTTTTAGGTTTATGCAATTTCTATCGTCCTTCCAATATATATATATATATATATATATATATATATATATATATATATATATATATATATATATATATATATATATATATATATATATATATATTAAAAATATTTTTTTTTCAATTGTTTTTCAACGAATTGCTATAAAAAGTTTTGTCTTTTAGGTTTGTAATGTCAAAAAAAGGATTAGATATCGCAAATTCTATTGATTTTCTAGATTTTAAGGGTTTCTAATGTTTATGCATTTTCTATTGATCATTCCTATATATATGTGTGTGTGTGTGTATATATATATATATATATATATATATATATATATATATATATATATATATATATATATATATATATATGGTGAGGTTCAATAGAGAACCATAATTAACAAGGAACCAATGAACCAATCGTGAGCGACCAAAATCATAATGATCAATGGCCAAGGAAATAAATGTACACTTGTACATTGGACGCACACACCGGATTATACCAAAAAATCAACTTCCTTACCAAAAAAACTCACCTCTTTTTTTTTATTTAAAATTTTTTTAGGCCATATTTTTTATCGAAAAAAAAACCGAATATACCGTTGTTTTCGATTTTTCGTCATCTTTCAATAGAGATCAATGTTGATATATAAAAAACGAATTTTTTTTCGAAAAAAACTCACTTCATTTTGTTAGTTTTTTCAATATTTAAGTTTATTTTTATAAAAAAAACTAATTATACAAAAAAAAATTAATTTTTTGTACTCTATTAATAAACATCAACACCGACTAAAAAAAAACCTCAATCAATGTAGATTCACACTGTGAATCTAAACTGTAAATATTTCAATTTTTAACATTCACAATGTGAAAAGCTCGATCAGTTCAGATTCACATTGTCAATCTGACTTACTATTATGCACACTGTGAATCTGAGAAGGTTCACAACGTGAATTTGAACTGAAATATCGTTTTTTTTGTTAACATGAATATGAATATATGTTTAAAAAGTACGAAAAAGTATGAACTTTGATATATTTATTTAATTTTTTTCTATAGAAAAATAGACATTAATTTTTCAACAAAGAAAATAAAGTGAGTTTTTTTTCGAAAATAAAGTTCGTTTTTTATATATTATCATGGATGTCTATGGAAAGAGGACAAAAAATCGTTAAAAACGGTATATTCGGTTTTTTTTCGATAAAAAACATGGCCTAAAAAAAATTTTAACCGAAAAAAAGAAAGTGAGTTTTGCTATAATCCGGTGCATGTGCGTCCATTATAAAAGTTTACAACCATTCCTTTTGCCGTTGATCGCTTTAAATTTTGACGCTTTGGATTGGTTCTTTGGTTTCTCTATTGAACTTTTCCATATATATATATATATATATATATATATATATATATATATATATATATATATATATATATATATATATATATATATATATATATATATATATATGGTTGAGATCGGTTGAGAACTCAAAGTTTCCCGAGAACCCGAGAACTAAAAGTGGAGCGTTGGATCAAAAGTAATTCGTTAAGGACATGATCGTCATCTTACCAATCTCATTTAATGTTTAATTTTTTTGTGTTATTTAATATATTAATATAAATGTCTAAAAATTTACATCATAAATCAAATTTTCAGACTTTTTTAAAAATAGTATTTTTCGTTTTTTTTAAATGAAGATTTTTAATTTTTTATAGAAAACATGTATTTTTGAAAAAAATTGAAAAAAATATTCTTTTAAAAAACTGCAATTTAAAAAAAACTGCATTTTTTTTAAAGAAAACTGTATTTAAAAAAAACTGCATTTAAAAAAAACTGCATTTTTAAATAAAAAAACTGCAAGTTTTTTAAAAAAGTTACATTTTTTTCAAAAAAAAACTGCATTTTTTTTAAAAAAATAAAATTTTAGGTGCATATATGCATATTTTTTCAAATGCATATATTCATATTTTTTATACTATAATATTCGTAAGTAAATCATAAAAAAACTCATTTTTATTTACGTCTTGAAGATTTTTTGATGCAAATTCATCGCAAGGTAACGTTTATAGTCCTCATCTACAATAGAATAAGTATTTTATTCGATACAAAATAAAATATAAAAAACAAAAAAATGCTATAAAATTCCAAAGCGTGTTCATGTCTTTGTGTCAATATTTCCATATTTTCTTCAATTTATCATCTTCACCTCTTCAATATTCATCACAATTTCATCCAAATCTACAAGAAAATTTAAAAAAAAAAAATTGATTGATGCAAAAACACTTACAAAAATACATAAGTGATTTACATGTGATTAACATATGAATCACAGACGATTCACATATGAATTACATGTGATGCATATATGAATTACATGCGATTTACATGTGAATCACATGTAATTCATATGTGAATTACATGCGATTTACATGTGAAGCACATGTAATTCATATGTGATTTACATGTGAATCACATGTAATTCATATGTGAATTACATGTGAATCATATGAATCGTATGATTGAAACCCTGATTTATCTTTTTTTAGTCAATGAAAAAAACCTCAACTGTGAATTACAGGTTATAACATCCAACAATGAATGACCAAAGTTTCTTACTGTGTATTTTGATATTTGAGCATTCATCTTTTGCAATAGATTGTTGAGAGTAGAGATTGACCATGGATTCATACAATTTGAACCACTATTAAGAGGGGATCCTCCATCCACCTTCAAATAACCATAATTGACATTGTTAAATATTATAACCATATTTGAAGAGCAAACTCATAATAAAAAAAGAAAAACAGTTTCAAGCATCATATCATAGATACCTTCTTATGTGAACAAGCATCTATTATTGCTTGCATTCTTTCAAGAAAAATAGGCGTGTGCCTTCTTCAACTTCTCTATTGGTTCAGCATTCTTATAACAAAACTTGACACTATACCCATTAGCAATGAAAACCATTAAGAGAATAACAATTTAATTTTAAATTATAACCCCTTGGTCATAAGATTAGACATAGATATGATATAAAGAGGAGAAGATTGTAAGGACCTTGAAATGCCTGACGGATACACTAAATGAGCCTCATTCATCATTCCCTTTGCTTCTAAGAACAATGCATATGACTCATATAGCAAAGTTTTATCCAAACAAATTTTAAGCTGTTCAATTTCCCTGAAAACAACCTCATAGTTTGGACTAAAATCCATCTGCAAACACAAAAGCGTTTTTTTTGTTTTATTACAGAGAAATTTTTATGTGATGATAAATGAATGTATTACCCACAAATTATTCTAAGTTAAAAACTACACTAAGCTTTATTAACGAAGAACACTCAGACAAAATGCATGTTTCTATATAGACTTTATTCATATGTGATTCACTTGTGATTTACATGTGAATCACATGGAATTCATATGTGATTCACTTGTGATTTACATGTAATTAATATGTGATTCACTTGTGATTTACATGTAATTTATATGTGATTTACCTATAAATGACATATAATTCATATGTGATATGTTATTCACTTGTGATTTACATGTGAATCAAATGTAACTTATGTGTGATTCACTTGTGATTTACATGTGAATTACATGTGATTTACATGTGAATCACATGTAATTCTTATGTGAATCACTTGTGTTTTACTTGTGAATTACATGTGATTCATATGTAATGTAACTCATATGTGATTTACATGTGAATCACATGTAATTAATATGTGATTCACTTGTGAATTACATGTGATTTACATGTGAATTATATGTAAATTACATGTGAATCACATATAATTCATATGTGATTCACTTGTGAATTACATGTGAATCACAAGTAATTCATATATGGTTCACTTGTGAATTACATGTGATTCATATGTGAATTACATGTAAATCCTTGCACACTTATAGTCTTGCTTTCAATTTATTAGTAAAATAGTATGCCAATTCACACAAATCACATATGTTTGTAATTGATTATTAAAATAGTACTAAAATAGTACCAAACTCTGTAAAAGCAAATGGCTTAGAGGCATTATTGAAAAATTATTCTAGAGTTACTGAAACTAAACGACAAAATAGATAGGTTTTTTATGCAAAACACAAGTCACGAATCTATACAATATCACTTCCCGTTAAGTAGATGGTATTGGAAAATATTATTGCTAATAATTTTGTCAAAGATAGCCAAACAAAAATGGAACCCAGGGACTTTAAAATCGTGTGTGCAGAGCTTCAAAACAAAGGCATAATGAAATTAGGATGTTATAACAAAAAAAATCAATGAAAGCACATTGATATATGTCTTGCATGTAACATATAATATGATATATTTTGATAAAAACCAAAAGGAAAGATTTTTTGGAGTTGAGAACCTACAGATCCTCTGATAAGGTTTCTGAGACTGCAAGTGTGCAGCAACCAGGAACATATTTGCCTGTAATTAATGTATGTGGATTTGCCAAAAGATAGTTGATGGAGAACAAGATGGAATAGTTGAAATTCAATTTACTGGGAATTCTAGGAGAGTTTTTATCTGATTTGCAAAAGCGTTGTTGGTTGGGGGAGAACCGAAGAACTTCATCTTTTTGCATAAATTGTAGCTTCCATTATTACAAGGATTACAACTTTGGCAACTGATACCAGGCTCCAGGGCTACTCGATCACACACTGCTAAACTTTTCACGTTGTGCCCGATTTCTTTGATGATTCCAGCACATTCATGTCCGATTACCATTGGTTTTTTCACTATGAAATTTGCAACTCGCATGTTCTAAATAATCAAATCGTAATCAATGAACTAAATTAATTACACATCTGTCTGTGATATGAAGTAGAATGGAGGTTTACCGTTTACGTACCTTGAAGTGATGAACATCACTCCTACAAATTCTGAGAGCCTTGATCAGATCCATATCCGGTGAAAACATGGTGATTAGAGGCGAATTTCAGTTGCATAATCTGATATCCAATATGCATAAGCGATTGATTAAGGCAGATTGTAGGACTAATCATTATCATTCGAATTTGATAATCGAAAGTCTTTTATCAAACAAAATCACGATGGATAACTGGCAGGAGAGAATATATGTTGACGTGCGTGTGTTAGGGCTTCGTGTGTCCATAAGAAATGCCACCAATATCTATTTCTGAAGCCTAATTAAATCATCATCACCATTACGTAACATAATCTGAAGAATAAAAAGGGAAAAGAATTTTTGTGGGAGCCAGAAACATGTACCTGAGCTCTAGCACTGTTGATTGTTAGGGGCTTCAAAACAGCGAGATAGCAGTCGGAGATCCGAGGCGTTAGATCTTCATCAAGTAAAACATTAGCAGCCTTCAAATTTCTATGAGCTAAAGGAGGCAAACATGTCGTATGCAAGTAGCTGAATTAAACAGCAACAAAATTGACATTCAAAATTACCGAATCAACCCTAGAATAAAGGAAAAGGAAAATCGGAATTTATGAGTTGCTTACTTCAAAGCTAGAGCGATTCCAAGAGCGATTCGAGACGAAGCCCCCAAGATATTATATGCAAATCTTTTGATTCGTATTATACCTGTTCACCGTCGACACAGGCGTCGGCGACGTTACCCTAGCTCAGGACAAATCCGGTAACAAATCTAACGCTGGTGAGCCATGTGATGTTTCTCCTTCTCCTGCTACTTCTGATTCTGCTTCATTTTCTACTTGAGCTTGTACTTCAACTCTTTTGGGAGAGAATCCATGGCTGAGAGATGACAGAGAAGACATAGTTGACAACAGAGAATCTTCATAGAGAATCTTCAGGTGATCTAGCCGACAGAGAATCGAGACAGCTAACAGAGCGAGGAAGATGAGATAGTTGCTTTCTCTATCGGTTCGTCGTTGATTTTTTACTCGGCCGGTGGGGACACCGCCTGGGATCTAGGCAATGGTGGTGATGGAGGAAGGTGAGAGAGAGTCCATGGTTTCTCAGTTCTATCGTCGGAAGAGAGAGAATAAATAGAAGGTATTTAGTTTTTTACATATCTAATTTATCGTATTATAAATTTAAGAAATAATAATTAAATTTTTGATTCCTAAACTACCCCTATGTTAATTTGATTAAGTTACCCCTCCATCTTTAGTTTTCTACTTATTTACAAATATGCCACCAAACATCTTAGCCATTCAATTTTTCAATCTAACGCTCCACTTTTAGTTCTCGGGTTCTCGGGAAACTATGAGTTCTCAAATGATCATTCCTCTCTCTCTCTCTCTCTCTCTATATATATATATATATATATATATATATATATATATATATATATATATATAAAAGATCAAATGGGAACTCCTAAAGGTTAAGAACCACTTAAGAACTTTTTTTTATTAAGGTATAACACAATAACCCATTTTCATCTTTTATTATTTCTATCTACACACTACATACTCTCACATGGATATCTTCACTCTCATCTAAAACTTGAATAACACACAAACATTATCACTGGTTGCCACTAGCCACCACCCCCTGCCGCCTCTTGCTGTCGGCGAACCGCCAACGCCTACTACCACCGGTGAACCACCACCATCAGATACACAAGCTCCGGTTAGCTCCAGATCTACAATTTCAGCTTCTGATGTACGATTTTTAGCTTCAGATCTATGATTTTCAACTTCAGATCTATGATTTTCATATTTAGATCTACAAATTTTCTTCTTCAAATCTACGACTTTCGTCTTCAGATCTACGACTTTCGTCTTCAGATCTATGATTTTTGTCTTCAGATCTATGATTTTCTCCTCCAGATTTATGAGCTCCGGAGAGCGGCATAACCACCACCTTCGTCCCTCACTATCAATGTGAATTCCTCTTTCATGACATTAATCTACCACCAACGGAAACACAAATATGATAAGATCTGATGAAAATACCTCCATATCCACCATCAATCGCCACCTGGTCTCAGATATGGAGTCACGAAGTTGTTTCAGCTTAACTTTCTCTCTCTAAAACACAAAGCATCTTATATATGGTGTGATTTGGTTAGATCTGATACCATCTTCATCACCGTCAACTTCGTTTCCACTATTTCCACCACCACTGATGTCCATCACGACCTCATACTGTCGATATCACGTTCAGATCTGGTCTATATGGTTCGATTTTTCTAGATCTAGTTTTGGGTGGTGCTGTTTCATGTATAGATATAAAGCTATAATAGTGGTACCAGTGGCTGATGGTAGTTCCACCACCTTAGATATGTTCCAGCACTGCCACCTCCTTCATCTCTTTCTCTCTGATCTCAAATGAAAACATCAGGTATGTCGATTTGTATTTTGGTTATTTTGCCTTCTATTAACATGTGAACTTAATGCTTTAATCTCTCATTTATTGTTTATTTTTGTTGATTATAGTTTTATTTTTGTTGTAAAGTTGTGAATCAATGTTTGTTTTCTTATTTGTTATAATATTTACATCAATTGTTATTCATAGGTTATGTTTTCTAGTTGTTATACTGTGAATTAAAATTAGAATGTGTGTTATTATGTTAATGTTTTCTCAAATAATGTGAATTTATTTTTTTAAACTGTGAATTTTATCAATTATTGTTTAGTTCTGTTAAAGTTAGTTTTACATGTAAATGAGTGAATTAAAACGTTTTTAAATTGTGAATACTTTAAGTAAGATTCCTAAACTGTTTTATTAAAATGTAAATGAGAGTCCTAAAATACTATATTAAACTGTGAATTTGCTTGGTGCACACAAGATATTTGATGAAGTATGTAAAGTGTGTAAAATTTAATTATGAAGATTTGTGTAAATAAACTTTGAAAGAAACATTAACTTATAGATCTAACGATATACATATAAGTTTTAAGTTGAGAATATGACTGTGAATGTATAATTTTTGTGCATTAAACTGTGAATTTTTAATATTAAGTTGTGAATTTTGTGTACTAAATTGTAAATTGATTGTAGTACGCTGTGAATTTTTAATGAATTTTGTGTTAAAAATATGACTGATTTATGTATGAATGTTTGTATTAATTCTTTTGTGAATATATTTACATTTTGTGATGTATAAATATGCAAAAATATATTAGTTTTTATAATTATTTTGCATTAAACTCTTAATTAGTAAATTAATTGGTTTATTCAACTGTGAATATAATATTTACGTTATAAATCCATGATTTTATATACAAGTCTAATTTGGAAGAAATGATAGTTGCGAAAGTGACACATGTAGTTGGTGGCGGTGTCTGGTAGTTAGTAGTGGTGATATAGTTTGGGTTTGACTTATTTGAATTTGTAAATTGGTGTATAATGGATTGTATTATGTTGAGAATTTATGTATTAAACTAAAATAGACTGTATAAAATTGTATATATTATATAAATTTTGTGTTAAAATATAAATGAATGTTTGCATTAAAATTAAACTATGTATTAGTGAATTAATATGTTTGTTAAATTGTGAATATGATATTTAAATTGTGAATATGTCTTATACATGGTATATTTTATAAAGAAATCTAAAATTTAGAAAAAAAGGAAAACTGAATTTGAAAATGCATAAATCTATTTTTTTTTTATTAAAATTTTATACATATTGCTGCAACAATAAAATGATATGTATTAAAAAGTATTACCAAAGAAATGAAACGTACGATAGTTGTTCTATTAAGTTGTGAATACGACCATAAAAATGTCATTGAATTTGGTGTTAATCAGGCGGCGGTCCGGTGGCGGTCCGAATGTCGTCTGACGGCTGTCTAACAGCAAGTGACAACTAGTTGTAAACTACAGAATGAAAAAGTTTGTTTAATATAATATTAATGTTTGATTTGTCTAAAATCCCCATAATGAAAACATTTCAAAAAAATGGTTCTTAGGGTTATTAACATTTTCGGGTTTTCATTTGAACCACTCCTCTCTCTCTCTCTCTCTCTCTCTATATATATATATATATATATATATATATATATATATATATATATATATATATATATATATATGGAAGAGTTATTTGGAAAATAAAAAAACCCTAAAAATCATAAAAATATAAAAATCATAAAAATGCATAAAAAAATACTTAGAGATCATAAAAAAAAATTTTAAATTTTTTATAGAAAAATCGCAGCTTTTAGTATAAAATCGCTGAAAAAAAAATAAAAAATCAGTTTTTTTTTTTTGTAAAAAAATTGTTTTTTTTTTTAAAAAAAAATTCAGCGATTTTATACTAAAAGCTGCGATTTTTTCATAAAAAAATTCAAAAAAAAGTTTTGTGATCTCTAAGTATTTTTTTTAGGCATTTTTTTTTTTATTTTTAGGGTTTTTTTAGGGTTTTTTGTTTTACATAGAACCTATTATATATAATATATATATATATATATATATATATATATATATATATATATATATATATATATATATATATATATATATATATATATATAAAGTTGGCAAGATCAATAATGGGCTAGGCCACTTGGACCCACTAGAAGTAAAATAACTTTGAAACAATTAAATTGGGTCCATTTGATTTTAAATGACTCGTTGAAATTTGTCCTGTTGCTTTCAAGAAAACTTGTTGCAGAAACACCAATACGCAGGATGGTTTACAAGATGTCTAAGAAATGTAAAAGACCAATCTAAGAATTAAAAGTTACTTAGAATGGCTGCATAATAAATTCTTCAATAAGTTATAACTGGCCCGAGATTTGTTTTCTGTATAAAGGTCCAGAAATGCATATACTGGATTTTGAAACAATAAGGACATGTTTTAAAACTGATTCAGTTTATTGTCAATTTGGTTTGGAGTAAAAACGGATAAAAATCGGATCGGATCCAAACAGGATTCCTGCCCAAATAATCTGAACATTTCAAAAAAAAAATTGTAGGAATTAGTTTTAAACCAGATTGCAAAAAACTGCATTTTTTTATCGTTTTTGTTATTTTAAACATTATAAAAAAATCGAACACATCTTTAACTCTAAAAATATCAAACGAAGCATATCTAATAGAAATAGCCGTTGACGTGGTTGTTTTGGTTGTAGTTGTAGTGATTGCTCGTTGTTTAGAGTGTAGTCGTCAATGTTGTATGCTTCTATGAAGGTGAGTTCTTATGCGGTATGTTCAACCAACGTTCTCATATTTATTTCTCCCCCATGTATTTGTTGTTCGATGTTTTGTAAATTTTCCTTTAGGTGATGCATTATGTTATCCAGTAGTTGTTCAAGCAAAGTCATACACTTCTACCTATTGAGTTAAGTTTTGTTATTCTTTGAAATATTACCATGCCATCAACCGAAAAAATGGATTCCGAAGCTAAAAGTTTGGACAGTTAGTAGATCACAAGCCATAACGACTAAAATCGGAAATTAAGTTTTGTTATTCTTTGAAATATTACCGTGCCATCAACCGAAAAAATGGATTCCGAAGCTAAAAGTTTGGACAGTTAGTAGATCACAAGCCATAACGACTAAAATCGGAAATTAAGGTTTCATGCGAAGCCAGAATATGTCACTTGTCAAACTGCTGTATAGTTAGATGTGATATAAAAATCACTTTCAGTATATCTTCCAAGTTCTCTACTAGGATCGTTACTTCGCGTCCAATTAGTAGCTATTTGGTTTAAGTATTATTATGTCTAACTGTTTCGTTATTACCGAAGCTAGATGCACCTAACGTGTTTCTTATTGAGTTATGTATAAATGTACGGGTTTGCGTTAGATAAATTTCAAATAATTTATTAAACATTGTTAAATTTATTGTGTGTTTTGAGCTAATTTATGTCGTCATTGAAGAAACCCAAATCATAAGATATATTCTGAAGTAAAGTTTCAACCACGCCAATATTTATCATCAGGTTCAGTGCGATTGGAACAAGTAATAATAGCAAAGATTATCTAAAAATTTCACAAAAGCTTTTATTGGTTTTATCATTTCATAAACCTTTTGTTTTTTTTGTTTTTTTTTTTTTTTTGTTTTTTTTTTATATATATTTCAAATCCGTTTAATTTTGGATATATTAAAAATATTTGTATAGGGACCACACTAATTGTAGGATAATAAACACTAGGTAAACAATACAATAGTTGTTTGTTTAAAACTCTGATTATCTCGGTTAGTTGTTCGATATGTAACCAACTTAGGGTCGGGATCAAACCTTTATATTAAGTCGAGTAGGTATACCCCAATTCGGATCTAACCAACTGGAATATGGATAGTTACAAAACTTTATATATTTACGATAGCCAAAGTTTTTAATACAAAAAAATTAGGTAATAGTTGCTTAAAAGTGTATTTTATATCTTTGATATATTTAAGTTTGTCTTGCACGATTAGGCTAATGATGTGTCCAACACAATGAGTATGTGAAAAATGTTATTTCAAACCGGTTAATATTTAAATTTTAATTGTCCAACTAACAAAGTTATTCGACGTATTATTGAAATACATCGAAAAATATTTGTTTTGTATTTTATAAGTGGTTATTATGTAATCTAAAATTCTATATAAATTTTTTCCATAACGAGGGTATCAAAACAATTCAAATGCAATAGTATATTTCATCATTTGTCAAGTTTGTGAATTTATCCAATTAGCCTTAACACAAAGGTACGAATCCAATGAATCATATGAAGTTGTCAAAATATGGTATATTAATTTCTTCTGAATTCTAATTTTTGGAAACGTGATCTTTCCATTTTAGTCAATTTTACATATTACTTGCATCATGTCTAAGGGTAGGATCAATGTTTTAAAAACCGGGTTTTTAGTTGAACCAGTATGATGACCGGTTCCCGGTTTAACCGGTTTGACCGCCGGGTTAACCGTTTTTATAATTTTCATATTTTTTCCTATTTTCCTATACATATATACATATATAAATCATTAATTTAATTTTTACAAGTTCAAACATTAAAAATACATATAAAAATAAGTTGGATTAATCCAAATACATTAAAATAACATATAACTATAAGTTTTTGTGTTTTACATCAATCCATATATGGTAAAAAGAAAATAAAGTATAATATCGAAATAAAATATAGTTTTAGATAAATACACACACATCAAACAACTTTATAACATTTACCATATGT